AACACTGAAGTATTTCAAGAAGGAAGCTGGACTACAGAAACTAGAGAATTGATTTGTCCATCACTTCTTGGTTGAGGCTATGAATGTTGCAAAGGAGGCTTAGTGTAGGGGTAACTTTATATAATGCTGAAATGAGACTGTTTTTTTTTTAAGAAGAGATTTCTGAGAGATGTGATGTTTTTCTTAGTGTGAATAGAAAGATAGTTAGGAATGAACAGCAGGGCTTAAGGTAATGTGCTGGTTCAGGTGGATTGGGAGTGTCCTGGCTGGAATCCATACTCCAATGATGTTGTCTCCTAGTTGGCTAAGCCTGTTTGTGATCTCTTCTGGATGGATGAAAAGTATGATGAGTAAAGATGATAAAAAATCTTTGTGTAGTAGCAAAGCCTATATGAAGAAATTTGTCCTGTAACAGTAATGAATCATGTTAGCTTTGAGATGCAAACTAAAGGCTGCCCTGGCTTTTTCTGTTGATATAAAGAATCTCCTTGTGCAAGGTGTGGAATCAGAATCTGGTAGCTGTGAACATGGTTGAGGACCACGTGGACAGACCATTGTAGGCAGCGTGCTTTCCAGTGCCAGCACGAGAGAGCTACCGCTCTGGAAAGAAAGAAGAGGCAACACCAGTTCTACTGCTGCAGTCTGAGTTCTGCCTTTAATGGTTCCTTTAATGTATTGAAATGAATTTTTAAGGAAGATATAGGAAGCAGGAATTCCAGTCTTACACTCAGTTACTTGATCAAGCTGCTTAGGACTTGATGCTGACAGTCTGGTAGGCATAACTCCCTGGAACTTGGCAGTCTCTTGGCTGTGGCTTATGGCTACGGAGAGACAGATGAAGTAGCCAGTGTGGTTGGTTTTGGGATTTTTTTTTTTACCCAAGACAGCTGGAAATGGTAGGTTTGGTAAGCAGCTTGTTTTAATATTAACTATGTATTGAAAAAGACTAAACTTGTATCCTTTGTACATTTCTGGCATGTTAGGTGACAGTAAGTTAAACGCTTGTCCAAAGTCTTCTGATCCTATCTTGTGGGAATGAAGTGTACCAGTAACTGGCACGCTGCTGGCATGTTCCTGAGGCAAGACTTGTGCGGGTGCTGACTGGCAAAGCTGCCCCTGGCCTGTTGGGGGGCTAAGGGAGCGGGCGCAGACCCAGAGAGGCAGTCTGCCAGAGTTACAGGCCAAAAGCGTGCTTGTGAATGTGGCTCTCTTTCGGCTTGCATGGTGGTGTTTCAGAGCACGTGCTGGTGTGTAACAGGTGGGCCAGACTTGGATCTGGTAGTGAGGTGGAGAGTGCAATGGATAAATGGTACAGTCTGTGCAAGATTTGGTGCTAATACTAGCTAGGAGGTGTGCTGAACCCAAATGGATTCATGCAGGTAGGTGTCTGCCCTGTAGTCCTACAGTACTGGAATACAGTGCAGGGACTGAGTTCAGTCTGGAAGCAGTTTTGCTCCTCTGAATAATCCTTATCTAACATAAGTATTCAAGCAGGTAAATGGGTTCATGTTACACTAAAATGACAATGCTTGGGTTCTCCAGGAGCTTGGAGTATTGAAAGGGGAATATCTCTTAAACCAGGAGGCTTAGAGACTAGTCCCGCAGGTTTTTTCTGGATGTGGTCTCTGAACTTCGGTCTGTTTAGTCTTCCTCTTTCTTATCTTTCACACAGGGGCTAGAGTTAACTTTGTTTTGTGACCTTCAGCAAACTGTTTGTATTACTGCTGTATGGTCTGTATGATCTCAGAGTTAATGGCTTAATTCATAATCACTTCTAGTACACAAGACCGATCTTCAAGGAGGCTTGGATGAAGTACAGTGTCTGCCTATTGGAATGCTCGCAACTGCTGAAAACAGATGCTAGATTTGTAAGCAACTAGTCTCACTGTCCTTGATGAGTGTTTGAGCAATGCTAATGTGTATGACAACAGCCAAGCGCTTTCAGATCGGGAATTGAAAATATTTCTGTGCTTATCAAACTCGTTTTAAAGCTGATGCCTATTTTAGAAGGAGAAAGCATCATATTGTGAGCACACAGTGATAGGACTGAGTAATCTGCTCTACGGGGGAAATCTGATTCAAACAGAACTGCCTATTGATAAAAGCATATTCTTCTTGTTCTGCTATGTGAATAGCTTTTGCATATGAGTACTCTAAGAGGCAGCTGAATTCCCAGCTTTCTTCCTCTGCAGAGGTAGTAAACAAAAGCACTCTAAATTCTGGGTTTAGAGAACCGTTTATGAGCCAAGACACTTGGAGAGCATCACAGAACCTATCAAAGGAGATCACTGCCTGCTAGCACAGTCCATTACAATCGTTTTAATCATTTTTTGACCTGTCTTAAGATGACTGCCAGTAGCTTTCATTAGGTACACTAACTGTGAACAGAGGAACACTCACACTTGTATCAGAGTAAGGTCTTTGACTGAAGATCTGAGTTGATCAACCTGCAGTCAGGTGTACTTCTCAAAGCTGCCTCACCTCAGAATCCACAGCCTCCAGCCTTCCTATAGAGAGAAAGGACATCCTTATCTGTTGGAGGCAGCTCAGAGGAGGCACCTGCTACCCTTTCCTTCTGTTTCTGACACATCAGAAAGTATGTTGGGTAGTGCTGGTTTGTCTCACCTCAAAGCAGGGTACAGAAAGCTGAAACTCAGGTTGTAACTGAGCAACTCCATAGCGTATTTTTTAAGTGTTTTATGCTGCCTGGATGTGTAGCATAGGTAGGGAGTACCTGGAAAGTAGTATAAGGTGCAGCAGCATTTCTGAGGATTCTGTAAAAGCTTCCTTGTGGTGGATCACAGTGATTTCTTCAACATTACATTAAACACATGGCAAATGAGGTGCTGCTCCCATCCGAAGGAATCTGTATCCTAAAAGAGTGGTGAGAAAGCATGAACTATTGATAGGAACAGCTCTTGAGTGAAGAATCTGGAAGTATCTAAGTGGGAACAGCTGACAGCATGTGGGGTAATACAAAGTAGCACAGAGATGGAAGTTCAGGGAGTGCTTGGGAGATGTTTGGTTAGCAGATGTGGGTGTAGGGTGTGACTGGAGAGGCAGGGAAGAGAGCAACTGTGGCAAGCTGACCCTTCAAAGGCAAGATTGACAGTGTGTGCTTTATGAACTGCACTGAACAGCATCTGGCCTGGAAAGCACGGTTAACCATCTGCTGCTGAGCCACACATCATGAAACTGGCTGAGGTGGACAACTCATGCACTGGGCTTCCAGGGCAGGAATGAGAAGCTAATGAGCAGGCGTTCAGGTCCTGCACCTGCCTCGCTAAGTTAGCAGAATGGTCAGAGAGGTTGCTGAAACAGTGCTGTGTGAGACTGATACATCCTCTTCTGCATAACTTAAATGATTGGAACTTCTTTCAAATGAGAACACCGAACACCTGCCTAATGAGGTTTAAGCTGTCCATTTTTCAGGTCATCACTGTTTTTACTGTTGCATTCCTTGGATCCAAGGCTTTTTTTTTTTCACTCCTTTCAAGAGACTGTTAGTCTGTGTAGCCACGCGCTGGACAGCAGATCTTAAATGTGAAAAATTACCACCTGTTCAGGGGACTGCTGGCTTCAAATCCAAGCTCTGGATGTGTTTCCGTTTTGGAGGTCAATAGCAAGATCAATGTGGCGTTTAGCTGAAGGACTTGGCTAAATAAGCCCAAATGACACTGCTATCATCTCTGTGTTTTCAGTTGACTTCTAATGTTTATCAGCATTATACAGGAGTCTGTATTGTGTGAGGCTTGCCACTTTGGTTTGCTAGTGGAAAATCACAGGGTTTTTAGGGGGTGAAATTAGGGAAACAAACTGAAGAAAGTGTGGTGTTCTAGACATAGAAGTGAATGACAAAGCATTGGTACTACAAGCTGCTCATCTTCTGGTTGCAAACTGAACAGCATGTGCTCAAAGCAGACCTAGGTACTACTTCCAGCTTGTGAGCAGTTGGGCCCTAACTCTATAGGGCAATGTGATGTTTGCTTCGGAGATCCTAAAGGGCTTTTAACTCAGACTAGCTTCTCTGTGCAACTTCAAAGGAGAGAAGCAGACTTTCTGCTGCTATGATATTGAACCCTAATTAAACAACTGAATGCATTTGAGTCGACCTTTTTTCCAAATCTAGTTGACTGTCTGTTTTTATTACACATAATGGATGTAGATATATAATGACTACTGTGGCTGAGATTCCCTTTCTGCCAAATAGCCAAGGGAGCATGGGAGAAATCTGTATTCCTGTTGATAACGCTTGTTATGGCTCCTGGGTTAGCTACAGGACATAGCTGTGAACTTGGCTTTCAAGCTGTTACAGATAAAAACATCTGCCACTAGAGAATGAACCTCTCTAATATGACACTGTTTTGTAGCAGTTATGTCAGAGCTTAAAAAGATGCTGAACTTCTGATGGAAACAGGCTGAAATCCTCTCCGGTTGCATTTCGATTGCCTCTTCCACTGCTGAACAAGTTGGATGCTGTGTAGCCTAGCAGAGAGCAGACCTGTCAGGTCCTTCCACTTTCCAGCCTTTTAAAACTCCTCAGGGAGTTAACCTGTGGGTTGGAGGCTTATTCCACAAGAGTGATTTATTACTGTAAATGCTGTCCATAGAGTAGCTTGCATCAGAGGAAAATCTTCTGGATATTTCTAGCTTCCAGGTAACTAGGAGATCCTGATGTACAGAACATGGCTGCAGCAGTAGTAGGTGAATGGCTCTTTTCCTATACTTGTCCTGGTTGTCCATCTGTTCAGCTATGCAAAACACCTCTGCCCGAGTAACTTTGCTCCCCCGACTGTTTCAAGGCTTGAAAAGTTATGTAAGTGCTTGTAAAAAATGACTGACTTCACACAAGCTTCAGTACTCATTAATATAACGTCTGTGACTTCTTGACTATAAAACCTTTGTTTGGAAGGCAAATGGCTAGAAAAAGCTTATGATACTTTACTATGTAAACTAGCTGCATCAGATAAGCACTAAATTTAACTTTCTTTTTTTCCAGTCAGGTCAATTCAGTGAAGATATGATTCCTACTGTGGGCTTCAACATGAGGAAAGTTACGAAGGGTAATGTTACAATAAAGGTATGTCACCAATAATGACTGTCTCTTGTTAAACCCATGCAAGGTTGTCTTCAGCTTCTAGTTTAAAATTTGTATGTTTGCTCTGGTTTGCTTCCACTGTTGGGACAAATACAGGAGACTGCAGAGGCTCAGCTAAATCTGTCAAATAGCTTTAAGAATACACTTAGGTTTATTTATGGGGTTTCTTAAATGAGAATCTGGGTGCGATTTCCAGGTTCATGGAATAGTTAAAACAATGCTGTGATAATGCTGTCTGGCTTTAATCTGAGTTAATTTTCACATGTTTAGGGCCAAGAGATCCTCCTCTTCTGCTCATCAACATAGCTTAAAGGAAACCTTACATCAAAAGCAAAGTTTTAAGTCAGTGTATCTTTATTTTCTTGTATACCGCAGTGTGTAAACTTCGCACACAAGTGTGTTCTTGCATCTGGTGTGAGATGCTCTAGTTTGTATCTTATGCTATTGGGCCTGCAAGCTTTGAGCAGCTGTATGAGGGATTATTTCTGTTCTAGTATGTGAGAGGTCATGCAGCTGGCCTAAGGAGAAAGGAAAGACTGGGGTTTGATTTCTTGTCTTATCTTTGTGTGACACATTTAAACATAGTGCATGGCTAAATTGTCTTTTTTCCCTTGCCTTAAGATTTGGGATATAGGAGGGCAACCACGATTCCGAAGCATGTGGGAGCGATATTGCAGAGGAGTTAATGCTATTGTGTAAGTGTCATCTTCCTTCAGCTAGTACTTAACTTCAGATTTGCTTCTCTTCTGTGTGTAGCCTTTCTAACAGTGCATGCTTGACTCCATAGTACTCATTTTAATTTTGAAATTGTACTGCAACTGTATTGACCTTTTTTTACCCTTAAGTTCAGGGCTCAAGATGGGTTATTTTCTTATCAGTGTCTGATCTGAAGTACTAACTACTTCCTATCTGAACTGGGGGGCAGTGCTATCTAACTGAAAGAATCTTTCATGTTCTCTGATCTTAGAGAACTTTTTTAAAAGAACCAAATTCTTTGCTCAGAAGACCGAGCTTTGTTTAAAGCCTTGTTGAATGTGCTCAAAACTGACAGTGCTGGAAACACTGCTGTTTCTGAAGTAGTTCAGTCTCACTGACCTAACCTTAAATTCTCTTTAAAGCTACATGGTAGATGCTGCAGATCGTGAAAAAATAGAAGCCTCTCGAAATGAGCTGCACAATCTTCTAGATAAGCCACAGTTACAAGGGATCCCTGTAAGTAGTATTGCCTTACACAGTATTAAACTTGCTTGAGGAGTGAATGTGCATAACTTCAGCAACTCTGAAGTCCAACTTGAACTCTTAACTCACATGTAAGGCCTAACCTTACTGATTAGTATAAGCATGAACAATTCCTGCCTCTAGTGCCTTAAATCAGATTATTGAACTCAGTCAATCCTTCAGCGATCTTATTCTTGTTCAGTGTCCACAAAAAAAAAAGATTGGAACAATGGTTTAGAGTATTCCACAGCATGAGTTTGTGCTCTCTTCTAGAGTTTACTATAGTACAGGTTAACCAGACTGTAGTACAGAAGTATAGAGTAAGTTTGGGGAATTCTCAGCTGAAAGTTGATTGTTCTCAGTTTTATCAGCTGATGTGTTCTAATGCTTGCTTTTTTGCACATAACTATTCATTTGT